CGACGTCGACGTCGACAACGGCATCGGCGTCGACTTCATTTGTTTGTTTGGCTTGTTCTTGTTGCTGTTGACTGTGTGTCGGCATTTGGTTCGTCTGGCGGGCTGCTTATCGGAGAGCAGCCACCAACAGCGCAAAGTTTTGCGGCTGTGATAACGTGATGGCCGTCCCCCGGTTATTAGAGAGCAACGATAAGAGCCTTCGACTGCCACAGGGCCTAACATCGTTTAACGACTATCGGCTATCGACTATCGGTTATCGGTTATCGACTATCGGTTATCGGTTATCGACTATATTAGTTGATAACCCTATTATTATTGGCCCACATTTGAATAGTTCTATTTGGAGGCTGCAAACTAGTTCCGTTGCCCGTTCTGTGAACCAAAATTGAAATCGAAGTAATTGTCGAACCAGTTCCAGCTCGGAACTTTAATTTACTGGTTTCGATGAACCGAAACTTAAGCCAATTCAAAACATCTGAACATAAAACCTTATTAAACCAAATTAGTTTTTTTTTTCAAAAGCGTTTGGCTAATGAAAAAAGAAGAAGAGCCTGTGGGCAGGTTAGTTTGTTTGAACCGTGAACCGAACCAGCTGCCGGGTTTTCAGCCCTCATTTTACCATTGAACTTCATAGTTTCAATTGTCGAAAAGTTTTTGAAAACAACCTCTAGAGCTTGAATATAAGTGAACAAAATAATCAAAAAAGTCTCAATGTAATTTTAAAAATAGACAAAGATTTTCATTATCATTTACTTAATATCTATATATATATATATATATATATATATATATAACTCACAAGTTGACTAAAATTCGAATTACTCAATTTCCAAAATTGTTGCTTTTCTATTTAAAAGCTGAAATTGTAATCTTTATTTAATTTTTTTATGCGCCGAATCTTAAGTTTCGAACATTTTCGAACAGTTTTCGAGCCTACTTGTTTCAGTGTCTAAATATATAAAAAACTAAATGATTAGAAAAAGTTTTCAAATTCAATTTTTAGCTCATGAAGTTTTCAATCTCTTTTCGCGAGTGACTACTGTAAATGGAACTGATAGTTAGTTATTCCTTTTTTTTCTCTCTGTATTTTTTATTATTATCATTCATTAATTCCGATTGGAATGCAATTTTAAAGAAAGTTGAAGTCGCTCTCTTTCTCTCTTTCGCTCACTCCCTTTCTCTCTTGATCTCTCTGTCGCTCGCCCTTTCTTTCGTTCTCTTTCTCCCTCTCTCTCTCTCTCTCTCTTTCTCTCCTGATCTCTCAGTCGCTCTCGCTCTCGATCTCTGTCGCTCTCTTTCTTTCGCTCACTCCCTTTCTCTCTCGATCTCTGTCGCTCTATTTCTCTCTCTCTCTGTCTCTCTGTTCTCCCTTTCTCTATCTCTCTCTCTCTCTCTCTCTTCCCCTGTGTCTCTCTACTCTCCCTTTCTCTATCTCTCTTCTTCTCTCCCTATCTGTGTCTCTCACGCTCTCTGATTGAGCACCATGTTGAATGCTGCAGATCTCTCAACTTCAGACTAGATAAGAGTCGTAGATATGTTGGGCAAGCGTAAAAAATTGAACAGCAGCTGAAAATTCATAATCTTCTGCTCGCTAATTTTGGGTAGCGTTCATCTATCAGATGTGAATTTTTGATTTGCAGTCTCATTTGTTGTGCGATACACAGAAAGATAGATAGAGAGAGAGAGAGAGAGAGAGAGAGAGAGAGAGAGAGACACATGTATACTCTGGGCACATATTGTTGATATATGCACTGAATATTTTTGCTATTATTATTGTTGTAGTTGTTGTTGTTGTTGCTGTTGTTGTTGTGAACTAAATGCGTCAATTAAATAAAAAAATATACAAAGCTCGCAGCTACTCGGCCAGCGTTGTAGATACAGATACAAATGTGCACACATGTAGATACATATGTATGTATGTGAGCACACCCACACCTGCTGCATGTGTGTGCGTGTGTGTGTGTGTGTGTGTGTATAGAAATTATTAATAAATTATGATTTTGGATGACACTATAAATCGCACGTACACACACACACAGCTGCATTGCGGCCGCGCGCGTGTGTGTAAAACGCGATGCTAATCAACAGCGCGTTGAGCGATTTAAAGCAACAACAACAACAACAACAACAGAAACAATAACAACAACATTAACAACAACAAGTCGAGCATTGAAATGATCTCGCAAATCAAATATCAGGCTGGCGCATGCACGACTAAATCTATATCCATTCCCATTCCCATCTAAGTATATCTATGCATCCATTTTGCTGAATATGGTTTCGCGGTTGGGGGCGGGGGATGTCTCTGTGTGTGTGTGTGTGGAATTTAGGGTGTGAGCTGGTGTGTGTGTGGTTGGATTGGGCTTTATAAGTAACCCATCTGTATAAGCACAAGTGTGCGCTATTTTTGAAATCTTTAATTTAATTTATTCTTCGTTTTTCAAATTTTTATTAGCTCTTTAATGACATTTCGCTGCTTTTGGCGCATTAAGAGGCCTGCCACAGCGTGTGCCCCGGAACACCCGCCACCCAGGCCCCTGCACCCGATGGACGGACGACCACCATCAGCTAAACCCAATCCCAAGTCCATTGCCTGTCCGGCCTGTTACGTGGCTCATTAAGAATTTTTAGTTTTTAATTGACAAACGAATGCGAAAAAATAAATTAATAAATAAATTGAAAGAAACTACAACAAAAACAAGACGCAAACAACTTAAGAAATGGCAAGCGAATTCGTTTTTCGTTTGAAAATTGTTTTTTTTCTTTTTCTTTTTTCTTTCAATATTTTATAATTTTTCAAATGAGCCAAAAAGATGTCAGGGGCTAAAAATTGGAATGCGAAAGCTATGTTGACAGCAAGTCGAACTATTACCAGATTTTTGGGTGTGCGTGTGTGTGTGTGTGTGGAGGGGGTGCAAATTGTTGGCCAAGATAAATCAAGGTGATTCGATAACTGAAAGATCTACATACAAACTTGATCCAAAATCGTATGTTGCTTCGTATGAGTATGCTCCTTGAGATTGAGTATACTCATTCGTATTGAATATACTCATAGCTATTGACTGTATTCATAAGTATTCAGTATATTCTTTTTGTATTGAATATACTCATTCGTATGGAATATACTCATTAAGAGATCATATTAAATATTGCTATCATTCATATTAAAAATATATTGATTTGTATTACACATTCTCATTAGAATTCTATATACTCTTCAGAATTGAATATACTCGATTGATATTGCACATAATCAATCGTATTGAATGTACTTATTTCTATGAGTACACTCATTCATACTATTTAGTGTTGAATATACTTATTAGCTTTGAATATACTGATTCGATTTGCATATATTCATCAGTATTGAATACACTCCTTATCATTGAATATGCTCATTGCCATTAAGTAAACTAATTCGTATTGAATGTACTCATGCGAATCAAATATGCTCATTCGTATTGAATATATTTGCTTCTATTGAATACACTCATTCGTTTGGCGTATACTCATAAACACAATCAGAATCCCTGAATATCAATAACCAAGTAACTCAATCGGAAAACACACGACTTAAAATCTTAATAAAATAAAAATGGAAAATCTAAATTTACCTTTTTATTTGTTTTAATTTATTTTGGTTATAATTACATTTAGCTGTGAACTAGTTAAAGTTGTGCGTAAAACTGAATCTACTAAACGAAAAAAACTCATCTAGTTTTTGATCATGTCCGTGACAAGTCGTTCCCGTCCGTACATAATGATATTCAAGGGCAACTCGGGTTTGTCACAGCACGACCAGAAAGTCATCCGATCGTTAGCGTATTTGTCGATTTAATTTAATTTATGCTACTTTTTTGTTGTTGTTGTTTTTGCTGATGTGGTTCCAACTTTGCTCAAATATTTTTTATTATTTTTTTTTTTTTTTTTGACAACACGCAGACTTTTATTAGCACCACGCCGCCAAATGAACGAGTGTTATTTATTTGCGCATGGATAAAAAAAAAAAACACACAAAAAAAAATATATAAAAAAAAAATTATTCTAAAGAAGGCGATTTGTGGGCCGAAGGGTGCCTAAAAGAAGCTCGAGCTGTTGGCCAAAGCGCAACAGTTATTGCCGGCATGTGAACGGCCCGCCGCTAAACACAGCTCGGGCTAAATTTCATCCAATAAAATGTAACAAACAAAAAGCTACCAAAAACCTGTGCACCTGCCTTCGCCCTCCCCACCGCCAACGGAGACAACTGAGTCCAGCGGCAGAGTCCAGCTGGGGTGCGGGTCGCTGGCGATTGTTAAAAAGGGTTTAAGCTGCTTTCGTGCAAATCTGCCGCAACTAACCGCAAGAGCTTCAGTTACTCCCGCCCACCCGGCAACCCTTTACACACACTCGCTGTATGTGTGTGTGTGTGTGTGTGTGTGTGTGTGTGTTTGTGCGCCTTGTTACCTACATTTGATTTGGCTAATATTTAATGGCTGTTGCTTGTTTTTATGCACATTATTTGTTTGTAGAGCGCGAACTCACGCACAGTAATTGGCACGGGCACGGGCACGGACAAGGGTGCGCGGGTCTGACAAGCAACAATGCTGCGATTATAACGGTAAGCATGTAAACAGAACGCCGCGTCACTTACAAAACGAAACGATTTGGAAATGGAACCGAAACCGTAAACGAAACCCAAACCGAGCAACGGGCAGCAAGCGCTTTAGTTTTTACCGTTGCTGCTGCCACTGCTGCTGCTGCTGCTGCTGCTGCTGCTGTTGACGACGCGCCATACGATTCGTCCTGCCCGACGACGTGCGTGCTAATAAAACGCCGCCGACATCGTCGAGGCGGCCAGGTTGCGGCTGCTAATGCTGGCTGGTGTTGCTGCTGCTGCTGCTGCTGGCGTCGCTGTTGCTGTTGCGCTGCTGCGGCTGTTGCTGTTGCTGCTGCTGTTATAAAGCGAGCCCCTCGAAATTGAGTGCAATCTCAAACAATTGAGTTTGACTCGACTTTAGTTGAGTTTTTGATTTTGCTGTTGAGTTTAACTCAACAGCGTGTTTATTGCGCTCTCTCTCTCTCTCTCTCACCGCACACACACACACACACACACACACACACAGATGCAGACTCTCTCGCACACACACACACACGCTCGCATGCACACCTCTAGCAAGCAGTTAATTACAGAAATGCGCTTATCAGACTATTTGCATGGTACCGTCTTCTCGGCGGCGCCCTGCGACTTGGCCTCGTTAAAGAACAGCTCCAGCAGGGCGGGCTTCAACAGCTGATCGCCCTCCAAACGCTCGACACTGTTCCAGCGCAACAGCGAGGGTATCACGCTGAGCGAGTAGGGCGGCATACGGAATTTGTTGTTGTCGCTGCGATCCTTCCAGGCGTCGCGATTTCCCACGTCGACGGTGTATATCAGCGCATTGGGATGGGCATTTTCACGAAGCGCTGTTTCCACAAGCTCCTCAACTGTGCGCAGACTTATCAACATGAATATATATGTGCATATATATATATATATATATACGGCTAATTAGCACGATCTTAAACGCACTCACCCGCCACACAGTCGGGACACCAGCTGCGACCCTTGCTATCCTTCTCCCCAAAGAAATACATATAGATGAGGCAATTGTTCTTAGCGTGCACTTTCAGCGCATCCTCCAGCTGTTTAAAGCCCTGTATTGGTACGTATTGCGGCATCGTGCTTTTTCTACTGTTGCTGCTGCTGCTGCTGCTATTCCAATTGGCGACGGCGGCCTTTTTGGTTGCTTTGTGTGTTGCTGCGATAAGTTTTTGTCGTTTTGATAAGCTTAATTCGACGTTTTACAGCCGTCTTATCGGCCCACAAATTGGTTTAATTGGCTAACAACAGCAACAACACAAAAAAAAAAAAAAAAGAAAAGAGAAAACGCCGCCCGGCAATTTATCGTTTCGAGAATGCGGTCACACACATACTCACATTGCGCTGCTAGTCTGTGCTTGGTATTTTTTGTGCGGTATTTTTTTCGTGCGATATATTGACAGCCACTATTGCTGCGTGCGATGCCATTCGAAATGGTTGGCAACGTGTATTGTACAAAAAAAAAAAAAAAAAAAACGCGCGCCAAATTTAAAATTCAATTTTACAATTTGTTCTTTCAAATTTTGTTTGCATATTGGTGTGTGTGTCACTGACATAAAAGCTAATATATAGGTGTAAGTTTGTAACTTCAAAACTGTTACATGCCTTTCCAAATTTGAATCGCCCTCATATGTACCATAACTTATATCAGAATTTATTATATCGAAATATTTGCGGGCTAAATGTTCCGCAATGTTATTTTACAGGCACACACACACACACAGGTTGCGCTCAGTGTTTGTGCTGCTTCTTTCTTAATTATATTACCCATCACCGCATCTTGATATCGATTATTGATTGCATGAAAAGGGCAAAGTTATCGATAAAAATACCAATAACAGATACGTTCACACTTGGAACTCTTTAGCTTTCACGGACAGACGAACTATATGCTTTTGATGCTGATCAAGAATACATATATATATATGTATGCCTTGGTTTACCCCTTTTTCTTAAACTACCCAACTATGAGTCATATAGAGCGGCATATTTACCTCGGGCAGCGCACAACAAGCTGTAGATGATGAATGAAAGAAATGAAACTGAGAGACTCCATTTCCAGAATCTGCATTTGTGCTAGGCACAGCGAATTGCGGCTATTCCGAGTGCCTTGACCCAAATCCAGTTGGACGCAATGACCAAAAACAGTTGACGCAGCTGCGCCTAAACTTGAACTTTACGGAATCGCACAGCCAGCTGTTTGGGGGTCAGAGCAGCTGTCCGGTCCGACAGCAAACAAAAAAACTGCAGACGTTGTCGTTAATGCAGCATAAAACGCGCCAGAGCCAAACGATTGGCCAACAGAAGTCGACGACAAGTCCAAGCCAGACAACTGATTGAGATGGGTGAGTTGTGCCGATGCGATGCAGGCGATGCAGCAGCGGAACAGGAATCTAATCTTCCGGTTTGGACTTGCAGCATGCAACACGTGTTTGAGGGCGTCGCTGGTGATGCTGCTGCTGGCCGTCGTGGCCTGGGAGCAGCTGGTGGCGGGCAGCAAAATTGCCTACAAGAAGCCGCTACACGGCAAGCTGAGCTACGTGAAGGAGCAGCGCTTTAGGCAGCGCACAACCAGCAGTCCGGCCACAAGCAGCACAGTGCCGGCGCCTGTGGAGTTCATCATCAATAGCACGCCACGATCAACCAGCACGGAGAGCATGCTGAAGCTGCAGACGGAGGCGGAGACGCAAACGGAGGCGGAGCCAGAGAGCAGCGGCAGTGGGTATTTAAGCAGCAGCACGCCCAGCAGCAATACAGAGCTGGAGCCGGAGCTAGAGGCGGGCGGCAGCAGCACGCCGGCAAGTCTGGACAACACGTTGCCGTTGCCGCCAACGGCTGGGGATCAGCTGAATCAACCAGTGCCCTGCACCTGCGGCGTTTTCCTCTCCTCGCAGATGCAAAACGGTTTGCCGGAAATGCCGCTCATTCACAATGAAATGGACCGCATGTATCCGTGCAATGCGATTGGACGCAAACAGTGCCAGACCAAGTGCCTGGAGGCGGTGAGTGTCAGCTGCACTGAACATGTGCACCGCTGCTTTGACTAACTTTGGCCGCTGATCTTTCCAGATTGTGCAGCATTTGCCAAACTCGGCGAACATTGTGTGCGCCACGCTGGGCCACGATTGCCACAAGGAGCGTGCCTACTTGTTCATCAAGAACTGTCACAATCAGTGGGTGAATACGAATCTGCAGGCGGGTCGCGAATATTGCTGCAAGGCGGGTTTGCCCTATCGCTGTCCATTGTTGGGCTGAACTTTGAATGAATTCAACAATTTATTTCACACGTGACTGCAATAAAGGCTTAAATCTTGACACAAAATCGAAAAAGTTTGCTGTTTGCAAAAATACTATTATCGATAGCTGTTTTTGGTATTTGGTATTTTTTTTTTTTTTTTTTTTGGCATATTTCGATCGATTTGTGTATGATGTTAACTTTTTCATTTGCTATTTAAAAATATTAAGTTAACAGCAAAGTATCGCTATGTTAAAACATTGTTGTTTGCATTTTAAGCAGCAGCGATATTTTAATGGCTCGTGACGTCAATGCTGTTCAAATGTAAGCTGGTCACTCTGCTGCCCTTGTTTTGAATTTGCAATAAATATACATATATTCATTTTGCTGCGAGCTAATTGTATTTGTATGTCATAGTAGGCTATGCAAAACAATTTTAGCCGCTTAAAATCTGTACAATTTTATAAAGTCAGTTGAGGTTTGAAAACCGGCAAAAGCACTATATTGCTGCTATTCGAGTCTTTAGCTGTGGGATATTATGTATATTTTTAAAGCCGGGACTAGGATAGCTTAAAGTATAGCTTAGGTAGCACATGTGCATTGAGTGAATAGAATTATCAATATACAAATGAGTTTCCATAAATTTGTTCGCATCTATTTGTGGATATTATTATTCATATCGGTTCTGTTTGTAGCGCGTAATTTGTCGACTTACTACCTCAGCGTACTTGGTCACACTGATCCCAAATCAAAAGATAGAAGAAGACCAGACAAGTGTTAACAAGGTGAGTTGCATTAATTAACACTGAACTAATATATTTTGATTGATTTCCATTCCATTTCCATTCAGCCACCCCACCCACTCTTGCAAAATGGTTTGCGTGCCCTGTTTCATCATCCCGCTGCTGCTGTACATCTGGCACAAGTTCGTACAGCCAATTCTGCTGCGCTACTGGAATCCGTGGGAGAAAAAGGATGCACAGGGCAATGTGATCAAGGCCGGGCCGGAATTCCCCTTCGAATGCAAGGGTGGCGTCTGCCCATTTGTGCCCGGTGGCAGCAAGGAGAAGAACCCACCAGCTGCCGAGGACGCCACCTCTGCCGCCGAGGAACTGACTGCAACTGAATCCATCTCTGCCGACGGCCCTGACGCTTCCGATACACCAAAACAAACGTCAATTATTTCGGGGATAAGTGCCGAGTCCAAGAAACTTAACTAAATTTCTGTAGAATTTAGATTCTTTTTTTTTCGCATTTTTTTTGTGTTCTATTTTGTGCGTGTGTGTGTGCGTGTGTGTGTGAATTACACGACGAACATATGACTACACTGGTGGCACAATTAATGCGCACAGTGGGCATTCCAGACATTGTCCCAGGCAGACAATTTTACACCCTACACAAAACAATTTACGCTTAACGAAAACTCTTAATCCAACAAAACACATACTGTGCGGCTATGTACACACACATATATATATATAATCATCCATAAAATAAACCCAAGAGTGTGAGTGATATAAATGTCTGATTGATATTGATTTTCCGGGCTGCGCGCGGAAGGGTGAGGGGGGGAGGGGGGGTGTAGGAAGTTAGTTAAGCGGGTCGAAAGAGTTTTGGACGAGAAATATTGAGTTTATTCTTTGGTTTTAAACCTGATCAATATGTATCTATATATATATATATATGCTCGTAGTCTAAGTTTTAATATTAGATCGGAGAATGTCTTGTCAACAAATACCAAAAATAATAAATAAACAAGTTGATTATAAAGCCTAACGCACATGTGTTAAATTGTATTCAGTTTAGTTTATTTCAATTACTGAGAAACTCCAAAGAACATACCCAGCCAAGTGCTCCTCCAAAGCCGCTGATGAGCGCTGGATATGCTGGTCACACTTTTTGTTTGTAATCCAAAGCTCCGTGGAAAATGTTCGCATCTCCCAAAGCAGGTTGGATCACCATCAATTATGTCTGTAATTTAATAATTTGTTAGATAAGATCACATTTTATGTAAATAAAATATGCCAAATACCGAAATCGTTCGCCTTTTGATTGTTATTGCCAAAACCTTTCAGCATAGGACACAAAATCTGGTATTAGCACCAGCGCGCTGGTTCAATTTTTTTTAAAAACTGCTTTCATTTTCATTACATAAAACATATCTTTGCGCTGATTAAAAGGAGCGTGGACACAACACCTGGAAATCGAACCAGCAGCCTCATTGTTAAATTTTATAAATATTTTTATATTTTCACAATATAAAATGTTCCCTTCTGTTTTTTTTTTTTAACAATTAGGATTCGCGCCACCAGCCGCGTTCAATTTGTTGCATCGTTTTTTATATTTTTATAATATAAGACTTGCTTTTGGAGCTAGGCGACAAAACTGGGATTCGAACCAGCACCCTCCTTTTTCTACTTATTTTTGAAAGCTTGGGGCTAAGTCACATGCCTGGGATTCGCAGTAGCACCCGCTTTTCATTTTTTTTTATAATTTTACAATATAAAACTTGATTTTTATATATATAAATGTCCAACTTAAGAGACCTCTTTCATATCTCTTTCTGTTATAAATGATTTCTTTTGTAAATTCGATACAAAATATATAAATCGATTTGCATTGTGTTTTTAAAATAATTATTTTATATATATTTTTATTATGTCAAAAAAATTTGCATTTGCATGTTTCGTTCGCTGTTTAAGTTAGGACAACAAAAAATTGTACAATTTACACATTAAGATTAAGAAAAAGCGCAGCAAAACAATTAAAATAATAAAAAAAAAACACTAAATAAAAAATAAAGTAAATTTAAAATAGATGAAAATGTGATTCGTGATTAACGCGATTACAAAAATGTTGTTGCATATTTTTTGAAAAAATACATATATATATATATATTTATTTATATAAATCGGTTTATCGTTAAAAACTTAGGCCGTACTTTGTCTAAATTTAAAAAAAAAATAAACTTGGCGCATTTAATCGTTTATCAATATATAGATATACACATATATCTATATATATATTATAAAGTTTTTGAGCGGAAAGTTGTAATTTGTTGCGTCATCGACTTAATTCAAACAATTATGAGAATCTTTTTACAATTTAAACTTAATATAGCGTTTTATGTAGAATTACATAATTATATAAAAAAAAAAAAAATAATATATGATATAGGCTTGCAGAATGTTTCGTTCGTATTGTATATATAGCTAACAATTTTGTTTATATAAGCACTTCAGTTTCCAAACTAACAGCTAAACATTTAATAATAATGCAATTAGTTTAAAGATTTTGTTTGTGTTTTTTTTTTTAGTTTCTCGTTTTTTAAACTTAATAATTAAACGTAGTCGTAAATGCTAAGAGCTATTGATGATATTTTCTTATAAGTTCTTACGCGTTTCGTTTCTTGTTTTTGTTTTTTTTGTTTTTTTTTTTTTTTCAATGTTTAAGTGCGTTTGCCGTTTGGCCAGCACGCATTTTACAAATACAAATTACAATTAGATATTACAATTACAAAATACGCGTACATGTTAAATAGTTGATTAAAAAAGTAATTTGCGCTAATTTTAATTAATTACTGGAAGCAGCGATTGGTGCGCGACGTTTACAAATAAATATCAAATTATTTATTTCATTTACTTTGCTCGAAAACTGCGTTCAACTTTAAGATTTGGGTATGGGTTATGCATGCATGCCGAAAAAAAAAAAATACCTAACTTAATCTCTATATAAATTTATATATAGATATGTGTGTTTATATATCGGGCATATACACGCGATATATGCGATGTCTACACTGTCGCACTGTACAACAAATATTAGAATTAAACATTTAAATTACTACAATTATACAATAATACAATAATTATGTGTTTTTTTTTGTTTTGTTTTTCTCGTTTAAATTAAAGCTTAAGGGCTAGTCAAAAAAAAAAATATTAGAAGCTGTTGTGGGTGAGGTCTTTTTCTTTTTTGCGCAAAGGGTAGGGGAGGAGGGCTTGCTAAAAGTCAAAAACTAGCTCGCCAGCTAGTTGGCTGTCTGGCTGGCTGGCTGGTGCCTGCGCACTTTGAGTGCCCACACCTTTAACGTCTGCTTGTCGTCGCCATGCTGTGCTCCGCCTGCGTCTAGGTGCGCTTATGTCAAATGTAAATGGCCTCGGAGCCCTTGTTGGCCTGATGGCCGCCCGAGATGTATAGATTGTTGGCCGCCGGCGATTGTACGCCCTCGGACCAATCCGAATTGCTGCGCGGCGACGATGATGACCAATGTCCCGGCGATTCCGGTGATGGCGTCGGATAGCTATCCAGCGTTTGCACCAGATGCTGCGGCGTATGTCCGCCCGAATGTTGGCTGGGCGGCGTTAGGTACTGATAGAAGGCCTGATTGTGCTGCGACGATGGCGACAACATGTTGGTCGACGGCGACGAGCCCGACATTGAACTTTGTATCGAAGGCGGATTCATTTGACCCGAGTGAAATGAGTCTGCAAAAACATATAAGAATTAGTTAAGCTGTTGGCACTTTCTTCGATCCTCTATAGCTCTTACCCGGAGATCCACAAAATCCATTCAAGTCCAAACCGGCTGAACCGAACTCAAGGCCTCCGATTGCTTGTTGCTGCTGCTGCTGCTGCTGCTGCTGTTGTTGCTGCTGCTGCTGTTGTTGTTGTTGCTGCTGCTGTTGTTGTTGCTGCTGTTGCTGTTGCTGCTGCTGCTGCTGTTGTTGCTGCTGTTGCTGCTGCTGTTGCTGCTGCATTTGCGGGGACAACGTTTGCATTATTGCACTGCTTTTTGCATTATTGGAGGACTGGGGCGCCAGCATGATGCCCATATCGCTGCCCGTCGGCGATATGATGCCCAGGCTAACCGGCGAGCTCTGCGGCCCCATGGAGCCATTGCCACCGCCCAGCAGACTGTTCAGATTGCTGCCGAATTGCTTCTGTTGCGTGGCATGCCGCATTGCCTGAATGTGTGTCGGCGATGTGGGCAAACTGGGCCGCGACTTGGCCGGCGATGGTGAGCCTAAAATATATGAACATATATATATGCATGTTAATTTGCCTTCAGGTTTAGCCAGAGCTGCGGTACTCACCCAGATAGGCGTGCGGCGATAGCGCCAGGCTGCTCTGCACCGAGTGCGGCGGCGACTGATTGGAATAGGGCGGACTGAGGCCCTGCTCGTGACCGCCATTGGGCGCACCGTTGACCAGGCCGCACAGCGTATTGGTGCTGCGTCCGCCGCTGAGGCCCAGCGCCTGACCGTTTAGCATTTCCTGCTGAAATGGCGAGCCCATCGAATAGCCATAGTTGTCCAGCTTAATCATGTCCAGACTGTTCGCTGGCAGCGATTGCAGCGACTGTGCGTTCTAATCAAAAGCAAAGCAAATTTATAGTTAATATATACGTATGCAGAGTTCAATTTAAGCCTTATAACTCGTAAAATGGATTGATTATTGTCAATTTGCTTGGCAGACATTAAAAAGTGAAATACTCTGAAACTGTATTCCAATGTTGCTGGCTCTGTCTCGTATAGTTCTCGAGCTATGCTTCGAGTGATGGGCTGATTGGGTTGGTTCACCTTGAATAAAAACATTGCCGGAGACTCACCTTGATGCAGTCCTCATAGCTCGGCGGCTGTTTGGTGCCGTTGTTGTTGTTGGGCGGCGCTGCCATTGCATTCGAGTACATGGAGCTGGTGTCGTAGGGGCTGGGCAGATTCACCAGTTGCCCGTTGACGTTGCCGTTGCCGTTGCCACCGCCGCCGGTTGTTGCTATTGTTGGCGGCGGCGGTGAGTCCAGATCCGTGCAGTTGTTGTTGGTCACCTGTGCTATTGCCGACGACGTTAGTAGCTGGGCGGCATTCAGGCCGTTCATGGCCTTTTTTGAGGCTGCGCTGCTGCCATTGTTGTTGTTGTTGTTGCTGTTGTTGTTGTTGTGATTGTTGTGATTGTTGTTGTTGCCCTTTTTTGAGCTAGCCTTGCGTCGCAAGCTGCCCATATTGCCAACAGGACCACCAGCAGAGGCATCCAGTGCATTATCGGGACTGTTGCCCTCAATGAGTTTAGCCTTCTTGGCGGCCTTCTGCTTGGCCGCCTGGCTGCTCTGTTTGCCAGCCCCGCCGCCGGCCGGAATGACCGTCGGCTGTGTGATCAGCTGCGGCTGTTGGCCAGGCGGCGGTGAGCCAATCATTGCCTGCGGCGTCATGCTAATCATTTGCGGTGAACGCGGCACATGCTCATCCAGCAGCCGGACAATATCGTGATGCAGACGTTCGCTGGCGACATCCCTTGGCAGGCGATCCATGTGATCGGTAATCTCGCGATTGGCAAAGTTATCGAGCAGCGCCTTGCAGGCCTCATAGCTGCCCTCGCGTGCGGCCAGAAACAGCGGCGTCTCATCCTTGTCATCCTGAGCATCGCGATTCGCATGATGCATCAGCAGTATATTTACCGCTTCCGTATTGTTGACGGCGGCGGCCCAATGTAGCGCCGTTTTGCCCGAATTGTCGGCCGCATTGATGTCCGCATCGGCTGTGATCAGATCCTCGACCATGCCCTCGATGGCAAGGCGTGCGGCCAATATAAGGGGCGTGGTGCCATCATGCATGCGTGCATTCAAATTGGTAGCACGATTGCGCAACAAGATCTGAAAGACGCCCATCGCATCGGCGGCAACAGCCGCATGCAATGGCGTTCGGCCCGTATTGTCCTGGCAATTGGCATCGGCGCCAGCATCGAGCAGCCGCTTGGCCGCATCCGCGCGAGCATAGCGTGCCGCCAAATGCAAGGAGGTCTCGCCTGTCTTATCCATAGTGGCATTCAGTTCGGCACCCTGCGCCAACAGATCGGATATCACCTGGGCGGTGCTGTCCTCGTTATTCTCAATATCCTCGCCGCTGTCCAGACCGCCGCCGCGCACAGCGGCAATCATGAGCGGCGTCAGGCCGCACGGACCCCGTGCATCCACATCATGCTTGCCGCCATCCTGATGCGCCGGCGGCGTCATAATGGCGCGCACATCGGCCACATCCAGATGCGCCTGCGACCAGACACGCTGATCGGCCTCCTCGTACTCGCTGATCATCGTATGGTCGCTGGCATAGCCGACGCTTGTGAGACCGGCGACACTGCCGCCGCCAACGCCGCCGCCCAGGCCGGCGAGTCCGCCGCTGTTGAGCTGATCCGCACGCTGGCGCTTCGGTTGCGGCATATCGGACTCATCGTCCGACCAGTGACTGCCGCCGCCGACGCCAATGCCGGTGCTGCCAACGCCGCCGGCAAGCTGATGCGCCTGGGCCTGGGCCAGGCCGACTTGTTTGTTCAGGTTGCGCATCTCCTGGCCATGGGGATCGCGACGGCGACGCGACATAACAGCCGCGGCGGGCGCACGAAAGCCCTCCGGGAACCAGGTGACGCCATGCGCACGCTTGCGCTGTGTGCCCAGCATAATGCCAAAGAAGACCAGCGCAATCACGACCAGGACAATGCCCATTATCACGAACTTGACATTGGCCGGCGACTCGGCGCCCTCGCCCTCGCCGGGACTCTGCACGCCGCGCACACTGTAGATGGGATAGCGATTGGTGAACGTGTGCTTTGCGGCGGATGCGGCCAGAAATTCGGCCGCCTCGGTGGCACGATTAAAGCATTCGGTGCACTTGCGATTATCGATCTCCAGATAGATTTGTATGCCCGTCTGGCCGTTGCGCTGTGTATACAATATCTTGTGTTTGCGTCCGAATTCGGTGTCCTGTATGTCGGGCATGCGCGAGGCGCCCTTCCAGCTGAAGATCATGTCGTTGCCGAGGGCATCCTTCTTGACGCGCACCGTGGTGCGCAGCACATGGCTCATTTCGCGCAAGAATTGCGCCTGTTCCGCACGAAATTGTCGCATGTCCATCAGCATCACCACAGACATGGCGCCCTCGGCCAGTTGAGAGGACTGCTCCGACTTCTCGCAATCAAGCCCATCCCAGCTGCACTCGGCATTGTTGCAGCCATAGTCGCAATAGCCATCGCCGTAATGCTTCTGGCAATAGGCATCATAGATGGACGCACAACGCTTCAGCTTCTGTTCGCAGTCTCGGCCATCGTACAGGCAGGCGGCATTGTTGCAGTCCTGATTGCACTGCCCGTCCATGAAGACGCGCCAGCATTCGCGCGCCGTGCAATTGGCCCACGGATTGATGCCCAGCGAACAGTCGTTGCCATCAAAGTTGCACGCATACGTATTACATTCGGAGTCGCAGACGCCGTTGCTCTGCTTCTCGGGACAGCCGCGTTTCTCGCAGAGCGCTCGCTGCTGATCCAGATCGGCGGCATAGATGCCGCCGCCGGCAGCTGCATTCGGTCCGTTGCCCACATTAATGGAGCCGCCGGATGAGGAGCCGCCGACGCCAGAGCTGCCGCTGCCGCCGCCGCTGCCAGAGCTGATGCCCGACCAGCCGGCATAGCTGGCATCGTAGATTTCGCAGCGTTTGCCCGTCCATTTACTGGGGCAAAGGCAGTCGTAATCGCCCAACAGATTGTCACAAGCGGCGCCCTGCAGGCACGGATTCGGCTGGCACTCGTCCAGGGTATCGATCTCACAGTGCTGACCGGCTGTGCCGCGACTGCATTCGCAGCGATAGCCGCCGGCATCCTCGATGATGCAGTTGCCCGCCCGGCACGGATTCGAATCGCAGTCCTGACCACTAAACTCACAGTTCTTGCCATAGTAGCCGTCGGCGCAGACGCAATGGTGTCCGCTCTGTTTGGTGCTGCAGACGCCGCCATTCTGGCACGGCGACTTGGCACAAAAGTTGACCTTGTGCTCGCAATGGCGTCCCATGTGACCGGGCCGGCAATTGCAGTGATAGTTGTTGACCAGCTGGACACAGTCGAGTGTGCCAGCATTGGAGCAGGGATTGCTGAGGCACTCGTTGATGTCGCCCTCGCAGCGTGCGCCCACAAAGCCGGGCGGACAGGCGCACTCGAAGCCGCCAACGCGATCGATGCAGCTGCCATTGTTGTGACAGGCGCCCGGTTTGCAATCATCATGATTGAGTTCGCAGAGCATGCCCTTGGTGCCCGGCGGGCAGCTGCAGCTGTAGCCATGCACTAGATCGTGACAGGTGCCGCCATTCTGGCATGGATTCGGTGCACAATCATCGATATTTAGCTCACAATTCTGGCCCTGGAAGCCCTGCCGGCAGCTGCACTGATAGGCGCCCACCAGATCGCGACAGGTGCCGCCATTCTGGCAGGGCTGCGAGGCGCACTCATCGATATCCTGCTGGCAATAGCTGCCCGCATAGCCCTGGCTGCAGTAGCAGACATGACTGTTGCCGTGATTCTTGCAGGTGCCATTATTGCACAGCTGCTTCACGCTTAACCCCTTCCGCTGGGCCGCATCCTGGCAGCTGATCATCTGGACATCGCACAGTTTGCCCGTCCAGCCGGCGGCGCACTTGCAATTGAATTGATGCTTCAGCTGGCTGCAACTGGCGCCGTTCTCGCACGGCGACTGGGCACACCAGTCCACATAGTCGGAGCACTGTTTGCCCGTAAAGCCGCTCGGACAATGGCAGGTGTATTCGTCGCGCTGCTCGTGACACGTGCCGCCATTTAGGCAGGGCGCCGAGTCACATTTGTTCAGCTTATATTGACAATTGGCGCCGCTGTAGTCCGGCAGGCAGCTGCAATTGTAGCCATTGATGCCGTCCACACAGCTGCCGCCGTTCAGGCAGGAGCTCTCCGTGCAGTCCTCGTCGTTTGTTTGGCAATCGATGCCGCTAAAGCCCAGCGGACAGGTGCACGTATAGCTGTTCACATACTGGCGACAGGTGGCGCCATTCTGGCAGGGCATGCTCAGGCACTCGTTGATGTCCGTCTCGCAGTGTTTGCCATCGAAGCCGTCCACACAGAGGCACGAATAGTCGCCAATGCCGTCCAGGCAGGTGCCGCCATTCTGGCAGGGAAACGAGGCGCAATCGTCCGTATTGATGGCACAGTCCCGGCCCTCATAGCCCTTGGTGCACAGGCAGCGATACGAGCCGGGCACATTCAAGCAGCTGGCGCCGTTGCGGCACGGCGAGCTGAAGGCGCACTCGTCAATATCCTCGTCACAGTAGCGTCCCGTATAGCCCAGCTTGCAGGTGCACGAAAAGTCCAGGAAGTTGGGACTGGGCGTGCATTTGGCCTCGTTGCGACATCGATTGCTGGCACACGGATCCAGTTGGCTCTCGCAATTGAGGCCCGTGTAGGGCACCTTGCAGACGCACTTGTAGCCATTGACCTTGTCGATGCAGGTGCCACCATTGGCGCAGGGATTGCTCAGGCAGTCGTCGATGTTCGTCTCGCACTTGTGACCCGTATAGCCCGGCATGCACTGGCAGCTGAAGGCGTTCAGTTTGTCAAAGCAGCTGCCGCCATGCTGGCAGGGATTGCTGGCGCACTCGTCGATGTCCAGTTCGCAACGCTTGCCCGTATAGCCGGGCGGACAGTGGCAAATGAACTCGTTGATGCCATCCTCGCAGCGGCCATCGTTGACGCACGGACTCGAGGCGCACTCGTCAACATCGCTCAGGCAGCGGGCATCGTAGAAGCCGCGCGGACACTCGCACTTGTAGCCATTGACCAGATCCATGCAGACGCCATTGTTGGCGCACGGATTGCTGGCGCACTCGTCCACATTCAGTTCGCAGTGCTGGCCCGTGAAGCCGGGCACACAGCTGCAGCTGTACGAGTTGATGCCATCGATGCAGCTGGCGCCATTGTTGCACGGATTGCTGTGGCATTCGTTCACGTTGATCTCGCAGTTCTTGCCGCTGGTGCCGGGCAGACAGTGGCACAGATAGCTGCCCACACGGTCCACACAATGGCCGCCGAATTGGCAGGGATTCGACTCGCACTCGTTGATCTGTTTCTGGCATAGATAGCCGGTAAAGCCGGGATCGCACAGACACTTGAAGCTGTTGTCGCCATCGATGCACTTGCCCCGATGGCACGGACTCGAGTCGCAGTCATTGATGTTGATCTCGCAGCTGGTCCCCGTATAGCCCGGCGGACACTCGCAGCTGTAGCCGGCAATGCAGTCGTGGCAGATCCCATTGTTCCGGCACGGCTGCGATTGGCAGTCGTCGATGTTGATCTGACAGCGTGTGCCCGTAAAGCCGAGCGCACAGCTACACTTGAAGCCATTGATCTTGTCGTGGCAGATGCCATCGTTCAGGCAGGGACTCGACTGGCACTCATCGATATCAATTTCGCATTGGGTGCCCGTAAAGCCGGGCATGCAGACGCAACGAAAGGTGCCCGGATCGTCCAGGCAGCTGCCCTCGTTCTGGCACGGATGTGATTCGCATTCATTGATGTTTGTCTCGCAGCGCGGTCCCGTGAATCCCTGCGAGCAGTTGCACATAAACGAGCCCGGCGTATTCACACATATGCCGTTATGTTCGCACGGCGAGCCCTGATCGCACTCATCAATATCCTCGGAGCAGTCGACGCCCTTGTAGCCGGTGGCGCAGGAGCACGCGTACGAGCCATTTATGGGGCTCGTATCGCATATGGCATCCGCATGGCAGGGATTTGAGGTGCACGCATCGTCCAGATGGCACAGCAGGCCCGTCTTGCCCGCCGTGCAGCGGCAATAGAAGCTGCCCACGCCATCGATGCAGGTGGCGCCATCAAAGCAGGCCGCCTGGACGCAGTCATCAATGTTCTCGCTGCAATCGCTGCCGGCCCAGCCGTTCACACAGATGCAGCTGTAGGTGCCATGGGTGTTCGTGCAGGTCGCACCGTTCTGGCAGACGGACGGACGCAGCGCACACTCGTCCACATCCACGTCACAGTAGCGTCCCGTAAAATTAGGCGGACAGTTGCAGCGATAGTCATTGATACCGTCCACACAGGTGCCGCCGTTCTGGCACAGATTGCCCGGGCAATCGTCGATGTTCTGATCGCAGTTCTTGCCCTCGAAACCTGAAAATGAACAAGGAAATGTTTTGAGGAATTTCGATTAGATTTGCATTTATTTGCGTGCACATAAATCTATTGTAAGCCCATATACTCTATATAATAGTTTAGTTTAGTTATTCGAACCGAAGTATTCCAATTTTACGAACGTCCACTAAATTGTGGTTATGTTGGATCATTTTGCAAGAAAGGAACGCGCAATAAATTCATTGAATTCATGATGAGGTTTAAAATGATTTAGCCATTTAATCTGGATCGAACTACATACTTCAATCAGTATTGAGATCAATTTTTGAATATATCAATAATTTACTGAAACATTTTTGAAATTGCGTTATTAGGAATTTATGTGATCTTCGAACGAATATTAGGTACGATTTATTGGGGTAAGAATATATTTATGTATGCACATAATTGGGTTTGGAGAATATAGAGAACAACGAAGGTAATCATAAATTGAAAATAAATATTTTTGTATTCAATCGTTATAACTAAAATATCGACAGTTTGATTGGTTCGCTAAACGGTCACACTGCAAGTGAACATGTGTACATGCGCATGCATACATACGCATGCAAGTGTGCACATGTGTATGTACATATGCATGCATGTATGTATGTGCTCAATGAAGTGCATAAACAGATTTATGGACAACAACACAGCATCATAAAATGCTTCAATAAACGAAAACGTTTACAACAACAACCACTGGCCAGGGCTCGAACAAAAAGTGGTTGCCAGGCAATGCGAAGAAGGCGCACAAAGCGCAGACAACGCTTAAAATATGTCCATACATACATGTGTTCATAACGTATGTATGCATATGTAGGTATGTATGTATGTATGTATTTGTTCGGCGGCGTATGCAGCTGTGTTGCACATGTTTTGGCAGCCAGATGGAGTCTCAGCGACAAGCACTCAAAACGAGCTGGAATGAGGGAGGGTGTCAAATGAGTCGATGAGAGCACACACAGGTAAGTCGAGAACAACAGCCGGCGCTCTGTCGCTCTCTTAAGCAATCTATCTCGCTCTGCATGTAGCGCTCTCGCAGTACGGCTGCGCGCGCTCTCTGGTAGGTTGCGCCTGCGGCAATATATACATACATACAAACACCATAAACATACATACAGACATATTAAAAGACAGCGACAACAGCAGCAAAGCGAAAGAAAAAAACTGCGCGCCGCTGCGCATGCGAAGCGAATGAGCAAACAAAATGTAAAGAAATAAAACAGACGCTCGCATGCGCATACATATGGATCTGTATGTATGTATGTATGCACGGGTGTGTGTGTGTGTGTGTGTGTGTGTGAATGTATGTGTACAACACGTCTTTGGTTGTTCTTTCCCACGGTCTCATATCTGGCCAGGCAGCTATCTGAATGCGCGCCAAGCAAACGAGCGCAACGAGCGTCGTCCACGAGCGCGCTCGCTCGTTCGCTTCCCCATCCATCCACATACACGAACAGAACCACAGCAACAAACCCAACAACAATGCATAAATGCTGCTTATGCTGCGCGCTAGCTTCGGCTCTCGTTTGGGCAGTCGGTACTCGGCACGCCTCGTCGCTCGGCTCGATCGAGTTTTCTACTACTTTTATGCTGTGTGCGTGTGTTTGTGTGTGTATGTGTGTGTATGTGTGTGTATGTGTGTGTATATGTGTTTAGCTACGCTTCGGACTTCGACTTTGTACATTGCGCTTTACTTTGTGCTTCATTCGAGGAATTAAATCGCACTTTATGTTGGCACCCCCCATACCCGCCACTTCAACCATACATGCTCGCGCTCTCTGTCTACTGTGTGTGTGTGTGTGAGTGTGTATGTGCATGCAATGGAAGCTTTGCGCGCTCTTTGCGGCTCTTGGCTCTGCTCGCCCACAGCTTTTTTTTAATGGCTTTTCTTGCTTGGTCGGTTTCGCTTCGTTTTGGTCTTAAAAGAAGGGCCTAATACACACACACACACACACACACACATACACATTTATATGTATGTATGTACGCTTGGAGCTTGTTGTCCCAGCCCAGTTATTGTCATTGCTTGTTGTTGTTGTTGTTGCCGCTGGGCTGATCGATTTTGTTGTTGCTGTGCACAGTTTTTTTTTTTAAATCTTTTTTTGTGGGCATTTTTCTTTTATTATTATTATGATATTATATTTGTGAGTGTGTGTGTGTGTGTGTGTGGGGGACTGCAACTTGTTGCCTGGGCCTGCGATGGAGACTGGAGACTGGAGACTGGAGAGTGGCATTTTCAATGCATACTTTTAAAAATAAACCAAGGCAGGGCAGCAGCAGCAACAACAGTAGCAACAACAACGTGCATCTGCTGATCTGTTGCACACATGTTTCATGTTCGCGCTTCATGCCACACAACCATCAGCGTTACCCAGTCACTTAGTGGCACTTTGAACTCTAGACAGCAGCTGCTCCAGTGACTCTCAAACCGCGAGCAAATTTAATGAAACGTTGCAAACGAAGATACGCTGCACGCTAAAATTATGCAGCCCACCCTCTTATGTGTGCGTATGTGTGTGTGTGTGTGTGTGTGTGTGTGTGCCCATTTAAGTCAATTGGTTGCAACAATTTGCATGAGTTGTTGGTCCGTTGGGTCAATCGACGACCTGTGACAAAACTTAAAGCCTAGCAACAATGTTGCCAAGCAATTAATGTAAACATAAAAGGTCCGTTCCAAATTCCGTACAGTATTTAAATATTTAAAAACGCCAACCACAAAATTTCAGCTGTTTTAGCCGTTTAGAAAGTTTGCCATTTACAAGGCTGGGAACAGGAACAGCTACAAAATAAGCAACACTTTCCTTGTGATGCATTTTTATCATAATCGTTAAAAGCGACAGTGTTGATAAGCGCTAAACAGATAGGTTTTGGAAAGCTAGGAACTTTGGAATTGGCACATGCGCGTTGTGTTTCCATGTCCATTTACAGCTAACGGATTTTGAATCATTTGCAATCATAATTTAATAACCGATAAATGCCACGACTGTTATCGACCAAATGTGTGTGTGTGTGTGTGTGTGTGTGTGTGTGTGTGTGTGTGTGTGTGCGAGATTCTTCTGAGTCATGACTCGCCACGAGCCACGAGCGGTGGCCCAGGCCGAGAAGCGCGGCTGCCCACGCGGGGCCAAACTCGTTTGCTAGCTTTGACTTTAGAGTCAAGCGCGCACCAAATCGCCCGCTCCGCTCTCTCCATCCTCACCACCCTGTCCACCCGTGCAATGTGACCAGTCCATTAACCAGTTGGCTGGCATTATTCATCATTCATCATTCATCAGTTGCAGCAGCTTTTACCCCAAAGAAAACGCATCGCATTTGGGCAGCACAGAGTGGATCATGAGCACCCCAGCTTGATCTTCTGGTCCACTCTCTCATTGTGTTTCGCTTTGCATTGTGCATGACCTCCTTAGGGCGTAACTGTGCTTAAGCATCCCAACAAGGCAGTGTCCAGCAAGCAACGTCCGTGGTCCATTGCCGTTGACTGAGCCGTGGCTGATTTATTTGTAATTTGCTTGCCCGGCAGAGCAAATTAAGGCAGCCGCTCGATTTTGATGCCTTTGACTGACTCGTCGTCGACTCGCTGCTTCTCAGTCCAGTCCTGCTGCTGCTGGCTGGCTGTGGACTGTGGACTGTGGGCTGTGGGGTGTGGGATGTGGGGAGGGATCTGCCCAGCACAGGCTGGGAAACAAGTTGAGCGACTGTGCGCTGCTTTTGTTATGTCGGTTTGTGCCGCCCGTTTTGCATAATGAGTGCAACTCCGCCCCCTCCTTCCAGCAACAATTCCCACTGGCATCTCCCGCGCTACCAACGTGATGTCCACAGGGCGCTTCGTGTCGTGTTGTTGTAATTTTTTGTTTGTGTGACTGGTTTGTTATACATAGTTGTCGTTGTCGTTGTTGTTGCTGTTGTAATTTCTGTTGCTCAACACTGGCACAAAAGGCGTTATAACATTTTCCATTGCATTATTGCATTTTCCATGTTTTTTTTTTTTTTTTTTTTTTTTGTTAGTTTTCTTCTTCTTCTACATCTCGAAATTCCTGGTCCGTTTCATTATTGGTTTGGTCCACTTCAATTGCCGCCTTTGGTCACACTTTCACACGGCCAGCTCATTAGAATTTTTGATTGGGCGCAATTAAAATAAAGGCCACTCCCACCAACTCTGCCCGGCCGCTGCACTTTTGCTGGCATTCGCCCTCCATTCGCACTACACACTACAATGCAATTCATTTTAATTGAAGTGAATTAAATGAACATTGCACACACACACACAAATGCCTTCATAAATATGTAAAATGTAAATGTAAATGTTCGCAATTTACATGTCTAAATTGAATGCGCGACAATTGACTCCAGCTGCGCGTGAGGGGGCGCAAAAGGGGCTTTGACATTCATTTAAAGCATTGACACTTGCTATCAAAACGACGTCGATAACATCAAATGATATCGATTATTGTGCTACATTTGCAGAGATGGAAATGAAACATGCCTAGTTAAATGTCTAACCTAAAAAGGGTACGACTGAAAATGAAACAGGTCTGCAGAAATGGAACATGTCTAGTTTAAATATGAAACATGTTTTGCTTATCTTACAGAAATGCGAATGGAACAAGCCAAGTTAAGTGTCTGCTCTAATCTCTCAAGAGTACGACTGAAAGTGAAACATGCTTGGCATATCTTAAAGAAATGGGAATGGAACATGTCTAGTTAAATTTCAGCTCTAATCTCTCAAGGGTACGACTGAAAATGAAACAGGCTTTGCTTATGAATTGCTATAAACTCAACTGAAGTATTCTATGCACAGGTATTTCGATAACTTTTCAAGAACTACCTTCGATTATGATTTAACTAAAATATTTCTGCGAAACGGTTTACTAACTTCATATTAGAGAGAATTTAGTGAGTATTATTTCTGAAAAATTATGCTTTGGACTATGAAAATGTAAATATTTCTATTTGCTAATATATGATTTACTTTGCACAGCATAGCTGTAAGCCTATCGATAACACTTTCGATCAATTGCCTTAAAAACGGTTTATCCTCTCGACAAAAAATGGAACTTAAGAAATAGAATAATTATTTGTGCATTTCACTTACCACGTGGACATTTGCAATCGTAGGTGAGTCCGTTGGCGCGGCATGTGCCGCCGTTTTGACAGGGCGACGGCGAGCAGGGCTTGTACTTGGTATCGCAATCCTTGCCAGTGTAGCCAGCCGGGCACATGCATCTGGAAAGGGTGAATTGGCATAGAAGTAGAACTGTTAGAATGATGTACGAATGGCAATTAGCAGGCGGTTGCATGGCCTCCGAGTGTTAGTTAATTGCAACGTGCACCGTGCAACGTGCAGCGTGCAACGTGAAACGTGCAACTTCCGTTTGAGCGAAATGTGTCTTGTGATGGACATGGCATGCGCCTTGTCCAGCTGCTGGTCTACGATTGCTCTCCCGCCAGCTCTAGTCGAAAGCATGATCGCAAACGTTGCTCTCTTTACTCATTTACGCTCTCGCTCTCACACTCTCCCTCTCTCTCTCTCTCTGTCTCTCTCTCTCTCTCTCTCTCTCTCTCTCTCTCTCTCTCTCTCTCTCTCAATCTCTAGCTCTCTCGCTCTTGCGCTCTCTTAGTTCGCCTGCCTGCCACATTTGCTCAGAGTTGGTGGCATTAACCGGTTCCTTGGGGCTGGGTACACAGGGCCGCAACAATAAAAGCCAATATGTACAACAATGTTGCCAGCTAGTTTTATACATACATACAATTTATATATGTAACATATAGATCGTATGTACACAATATTTGTACCTTTGTTATTTATATTATTATTATAATTGCTCTTTCTATATGCGGCTAGTTTGCCAGTGTGTGCGCATTGATTTTGGGCATAGTACCTCAAAAAATAAAGTCTTGCTTGGCACCCGTTGAAAAACTGCAACGATTCTTAAGAACTGAGAACTGTGGTCTGTTTAAACTGGTTTTTATTGCCACCGTAAAAGGGAGCCGCCGACCCCCGCCCACTGTCTTAGCCCCATTGCGTCTGAAGATGGCCGCTAATTATGGCCATTAAGCGCATTTAATTAAATTAAACAATTAAAAGCCAACAAATGCTTAAATAGGCAACAGGCCTCGAGTGCCGCAATGCTCTTTGGGGACCTGTGCGGCTGGCCAATGAACCGACCCAAACCCCCCGCCCCCCCCAACCCAACCCAACCCTCTGCCAATTGCACCCCCTTTGTGGCACCGTCTGCCGTACGGTCGTGTTTGGCCTGCTGCTGACCAAATTACACATCGCAAATTGCTTCACCTTCGCTTTGGGCAAAACTAACGAACGAAATTCAAAATTGATTTTTGATTGACATGTGAAACTCAGCGGGCCAATGGCCCAAGGCGTTGATCATGCCGAGGCTGAGGATCGGTGGGATTCGTTGGATTCGGCAGTCTACTAAATGCGGCAGACACAAGAACTGCGCACAGTGCGGGGACCCACCACAACGCCATGACTGATCTGCGGTGGATCATTAAGTCCGGCAGTGAGTGCACTCATCGCGTGAGTGATACTTGCTTTGAATCGCTTCGAGAGCATATTCTTGACCATTGCATGAACTAGTTGCGTCGGCATTTGACGCACTTTATGGCATTTTAGCAAATGTATTCATGAATACACTCACTTTTAATTCGCATAAATATACTCAAACAACACACACTCTTGATTTTATTTTCTAACCACTTAATATTCATACATTCATGAGTACACTCACTTGTTATTCATGAGTATTCGTACATATACATACATATGTGCATACATGCTCATCGGAAAATCAATGTATACATACACAACTTATTCACTTGCTATTCATGAATACTTTTGTTTTATGCGTACATATGTATATATATGAATAAAGAGATGTATACATTCACTTTTGAATAACATATTCATAAATAGATTCAATTGTTATTCATGAATACACTCAATTGGTTTATACGTACATATGAATATACATTTATTAGTATACAAATCCAAAAATGCACTCTTTATTCACATATTCATAAATAAACACACTTGTTATTCATGAATACACTCATTTGGTTGTACAACATATGAATATAGGCACATAAATGCAAAAGTGCACTATCTATTCACATATTCATAAGCACACTCAATTGTTATTCATGAATACACTCACATACACTCTCAGTTTCAGTCCTCTTTTGCCTTTTTACACAAATGCTGCTCAACATGAATGTGATAACGAATCAAATGTATTCAAAGATTTTGCTTGTTTGCAGTTATAAATCTAATCAAATGACAGCTTTAGAATATTCATTTGGCTTATGGCCAAATTTTTATATATGTATGTATATGTAATTGCTTGTCTATTCAGATATTGGCATATTCATATTCATGCGCTTTGGCATGACTAAGCTTACGGGTGTATCATGTATCGCTGTCCACTAAATTAACGATTTTATTTAACTGAACAAAAAAATCAATTTCCATAACGCTTTATTTAAGCATAAACAAAATAAAATCGGCAAGTCAATGTGAATATTATGCGAATCGATCGAACGAATGCCGCAAAACAGTGGCTGCCATTTAAACTGATCTAAGTGTTCCATTGATAACTATGAATAAAGGAATTAATATTTCAGCTAATAGTTGCCAAAAGACTTTAAATTGCCCACTTAACGAGCGGATATGTGCGGCGCATTTCGAATGATTGCAATTTATGGGGTGACCCTCTCCGCCCTAACTGGTCACCCTCTCTATGTAGATGTCGGGTCATATAATGCCTGCCTGGCCACAACTTACAAATTGTCATTTAGTGGCAATACACAAGATCGAACCTTCTCCATATGTTTATGCTAATTACAAACCAAAAGTCGGATCATCGGGTCATTATACAAATGTCAAAAAAAAAAGGAAGGAAAAAACAAGCAAACACATGTTCACATCGCACTTTTCAGCTCGAATGAGTTTCTAATTCGATTTCTATACACTGTTTATGAAGGTCAAAAGAGAGGTATATTAGTTGGAAAAAAAGCGGTTCACGGTGCAAGCCCGTTCGAGTGAATATATTTGCTAGACACATTGTAATGCAGGGTTTGAACCAGTTTCATTCAACATGAACGCAACTTTGTTGCTCGAGTTGCTCAACTTAGTAAGGAATTTAAGTTCTCTCTAATCGCAAGCTTATAAAGATTTTGAGTTTCGTACAGTGTATCTAGCAGTCGTTAGTGGCCGCCTGCACGCAGATCAATTCGAGGCTCAAGCAAAGACGCCTCCCCCAAGCGTTCGTTTAGCTTTGGCTTAGGGTATCTGGTAATTTGTGTGCGCTACAAATTAAAAATGCAAATGTTGCCAATGAAATAATTTAATTTACATGTCGAACGCGGCGCGAACCAGTTGAGTTGAGCTACTAAACAAAGCGCCGGAAATTTCAGTTAGTTGCGACGTTTCTTCCATTTGAATGCAACTGGTTGTGTGTGTGTGTGTGTGTGTGCGAGTGTGTGTGTGGCTGATTTAATTCAATAGTTTTTGTATATTTTAATTAGAGTGGAAACTTGGTCCAATTGCCAATTTGTTTTTGCGTTTTGGCCAAAACCAATAAACTATTTTAATCGCATCTCTATGCTAATGCGAACTCGGGCCGAAAATGTTTCGTGTCCGGCAAACAATAAAGACCCGAATTCGATTTTATAAATTATTAGTTTTAAATTGTCATTAATTTGGCGCACAGCCGCAAACGGTTTTTCGATAAATTAGATAAATATGCAAATGCGACGATTTGTTTTCTTTGATATACTCTAAGCCCGCTTCTCCACTCCAGCCCTCCTTCCCTTCCGCCCCATCTTCCACTCCCCTGCCAATATACAATCGGAACGTGTCTGATCTTTTGTCGAACAAGCAACCAAATTTGCACTTGTCATGCGCTGAGTTATGAACCAAATACATCAATGACACTGGCTGAAAGTGATGCTTAAACAGATGATGCCCAAACTGGTTGCAAGCACAAAAGAAATCGGATGAGCCCAGCTTCAAACCTGAACCACATGATCCTAGACTTAACCATGTTAATTGATTGTCTCCATGGCAGCTATATATTAAAGCAGTTAAAAGATGATGAGAGCATAATAGGATCCACAATGGACCAGAGATCGAGCGAGATATAGTCTCAAATACATTTAAACTGTGTTTTGTGTGTTTTGTGGTCCACTTACTGATAGGAGCCATGCGTGTTGACGCAGGTGCCGCCGTATTGACAAGGATTCGATTGGCACTCCTCCACATCCTCGGAACAGGTGTGACCCGTAAAGCCAGGCGGACAGTTACAGCTGAATCGGCTGCTGCCGGCCAAAGCAGAACAGGTGCCGCCATTGCGACAGGGTGAGCTGGCGCACAGATTCTGTGTCTGGCAGTGATCGCCTGGCGGGTGAAACAAACATATTGGGCAGGAGATTAAAAATCGGTTTGATAGCCAAGTGGCTGTGGGGCGAGTTGGCCCGAAAAACTTACCCGTATAGCCATTGGCACAGATGCAGCTGTACTCCTGAAGCGTCTTCAGCTGGCAGGTGCCGCCGTTGAAGCAGCGCGCCTGATCGCAAGCATTCGCCACCGCAATCTCGCAGAGCGACTCCTCAAAGCCAAGCGGGCACAGGCACGAGATGCCAGGCCGGCCATTCCGAAAGGCCACCTGACAGGTGCCGCCATTCTGGCAGCGTCCATGGCCGGTCAGGCAGGGGTTCCGATGTTCACAGTTGTCGCCAACATAGCGTGTATCGCAGCTGAAATAGATGCAAAGCAGATATATAGATAAAGTATCTATGTGTTTTGGTTTGTGTGTGTGTGATTGCAAATTCCGATGCACTCAAATGTTCATCTAATGTATGCGTTTATAACACTAGTATATAGTTTATGAACTCGCTCCAGAGCGGACACTGGTCAGCGGTAATCAGATTTAGCGGCAGCAGATTTGTGTCCATCGATAAGCGGCAAAGTGTTAAACCAGCTGACAAACTGACAAAGTTGCCTCATTTCCGCTTGCGGTGTAAAGCCAACAGGCAATGCAGCTACCAACTGGCTCTCACAGCCAGCGACAGCAGCCTCGATAGCGTTACACTTGCAGAAAAAACCATGTACAAGACATAAGCAAGAACATCTCTAACTATAAAGTCTTTGTAAGGGACATAAACATGAATTTCTACAGCTTTCAACCATGCGTTTAATTCAAATTTATGTGTGAGACATGAAATTTGCATATTTGCATTAGCAAAAGCAATTTATCTATCGACAGTTGGATGATATATCGAAATTAAATTTTCAATTTTTAAATGGGCTTGAGATATAGAAATATAATGTTATATTTAGTTATTAAATCTGACTAAGATATGCAAGTTAAATTTTGCCAAAAGAAAAAATAAAACTTCTTTGGATATAAGTTGGAACCAACCTTATTCCGTCTATGTTCCACAGTTTCAGATGGAATGGTTAAAAAAAAAGAAGAGAATGTTAAAAAACCCTTGCACTATTCACATTATCAAAGCTAAGTAGAATAAGAAAAAGTAGTTGAGCTTTGCATTTGCACATGTTTTCTTTGAGAATAGTGTTTCGAATCCTTGCTGACAACTTGAGAGTCGGTCAAACATCAATGCGCACGTTTAAGTATGCACAATATGGCCTGTGTGTGCACACCAACAACATCAACAACCAAAGAAAGACAACAACAAATTAGCAAAGTAATTGCAGGCAGTAAATGCAATGCCGAAGCGCACTTCGATTGCCAATGACGATGACGATCACGATGACGATGACGATGACGATGACAATGACTTGGCTGCCGCTGTTGCTGATGATGATTACGCCCCGAGTTGGAGCTAAAGTCGAACGACAACTTGCACATTGTTGTTTTCCCTTGAGAAAACAATTTTTATGTACGGTAATTTGTGCGCGATCTTGATTGCATATTAAATTTTCATCGAAGCCAAAGTCAAAGCCAGCAATGAGAAAATTACACGCATTGCCGCAGCATCAACAACTCCAACAACAACAACAACAACAAAGGTGAAAAAGAAGATGAAGAAGAAGCAGCGGCAGCAGCAGCTAGCAAGAGCTAAAAGCAATACGAGGCAATGAATAATCATTAAGGCGACTTCTGCGTTAGCCAACATCGAAAGAGAAGACTGGTTCGGGACTGGCTTTTCTTTGGCGCTGGCGCACTTACCGTTACAAGTGTGTGAAAATGCTTTAGATTTAGCATTAATTTGTAACACACATAACCTCACAAAATGCCCAGCCTAACCTCACTTTGAGTGTGCGATCGAGCGCAAGCGTGTGTGTGTGTGTGTGTCGATTGTTGATCGTAATCGAAGCTGTTCGAGAAAATTAAATGGCGGTAGGCAAAACAGTTAGCAACATGTTGTTGTTGGCTTGAGAAATCGATGTTTGGCTGCCGCTGCTGCTGCTGCTGCTGCTACTGCTGCTGCTGCTGCTGTTACAGTTGGTGGATTAAAAGCGAACCGCAACAAGACTGAAACAAACCAAACGGCCGGCCAGTGGCGATGCGGCTGATAAGGCCGCCAGCGGACTACCATTCAAATGAGAGAGGTGTCAGGCGTTTTTCACCGACAACATCGACAAAATTAATGTAATATAAATTATACACGAGCCAGTTGAGTTGAGCCAAGTTAAGTTGGGGCTGGTGTTGAGAGTTTTGCCCGCTTTGCCCAGTTGCTAACTTGTTTCATGTTGTGCCTTGGCTCTGCCGTTTTTCAAATGAAACGCGAGAGAATACGAACAAAAAAAAAAAAACAGACAACAAAAAGAAAAAATTAAAGAAAAAATACAAAACGAAGAAAAATAAATGAAAACGTGACTCGCATTGGCAAATAAACCAAAGTATCCAGCGGCAGCGTGGACAGGGTGTGTTTAAGCCTGTCTAGAGATGGGCGCGTGATAGCAGCGTGAGTCACGTCTGATAGCATGGGCTCCTCTGAGCCATTTCACAGGCGTGGTGAGTTTATATCGCCTGTGGTGAGTTTTGTTAGGAGCTAAAAATTAGGCAACTACAATCATTTCGAGCGTATTTATATAGTGGTGACTTTGCACTGACGTGGTGAGTTTCGACCCGACGTGGTGAGTTTTGAAAAAAAGTCAGAAATCGATCAGATAACTTATGGCAATAACCTAGTTGTATGCATGTGTGGTGATTTTGTCTAGATTTGTAATAACCCAACGTCACGTTCACATCAAATCATCAAACATCACGAACTTTATGATATCTCACTGCACACGCCTGCAAACAAATAATACGAAAACAAAAACAAAACAAAAAAAAAAAAAAATGGTTAGCCTTGTGTGAGAAAAATCTATTTGGCATGCTCAGTCTCAATCGTTGTCGCTGTCGCTGGCGATTTCAATTTGCGGTCGCCGGAGAGAAATGTTCATAATCATAACTTTATAAAGTTTCAGCTAGAGATAGAGCTTCTCACGAGCGTAACCGCAGCAGTAGCAACTGGAGGCTATCGAATGTGCAGCAGTTATAGTTAGTATCCATAACCAGAGGATGATTTAATGTCTTTGCCCGATGATCAGTCATCTTTGCTCTGGTCTCTGGTCGCTGGCCTGGTCTATGGCTTCTGCGTCTCGCGGCTGCAGATCTACAAATGCAGCGGCCCAAGTATGTGAGCAGGTAAGTACAACGCCTAGTTAGCTGCTGGTTAGCTGCTTAGTTGTTGCTGCTGTTGTTGTTGTAATGCGCCCTGGGTATCTAATTTCTGCAGAGCAATGCAATTCACACGCTAGCCGGGCAGCTGGCAATGTATTCTGTTGAGCTAACACATATCAAGATCCGACGGACGACAATGTATGTAGAGAAGAGAGAGCCTGGGGGAAACACAAAAACAGGCGCTAACGTAGACGCTGGGGGCAGAAAGAATGAGAGAGAGAGAGAGCTGAGCGGAACGGAGCAGTGCCGAAAAATGCTTATCGCCCAGTTAACATCGCTGTCAATGTCTTGAGCCAAGTTGCAATTAAAGGCTCGGCCTGGCCTGGCCTGGCCTGGTCTGGCTTGGCTTGGCCAGGCTGGTTGACAAAAGCGCCCAATTAAAGCATAATTTTCTTTTTATTTGGCAAAAGGCAAAAAGCAATCATGTTGATGCTGATGCTGCTGCTGCCGCTGCTGCCATGCAGCATGATATTGATCTCTGTGGCAAGCTTGAGCTCTTGCCTCGCGGCTACGCTTCTGCTGATGAGCCTGCAGCAGTTGTAGTTGCATTTGTTGCTGTTGTTGTTGTTTATGTGTGACAAGTGCGTGCTTTGTGTATTCGATCAGTCGAACTCTTGGTCTGTTGCACTCACAGCCAAACAAGGCAACGTCATTCATTTCGCTCAGTGTCAGGCAAAGATCATTCCCTATGCTAATTAGTTGTTTAACCGAAGGCATAATATTTTGCTAAATTAGATGAAATTCTGCGGGTTATCTCTGCGAGACACATAGCAGCTACCATTAGGTTATCAAATCAGTTGCACACGCTAAAGCCGAGTTTCGCGATAACCATGCATTAACCTTTTCGGGGAATTACATTAGTCAAAGTCTTTTCTTTTTATTTTTCTATATTTTTTATTTTATATTTTTGCCTGCATAACAATCACGTCAGCACACAGCAAATATAAGTACAGTGAAAAAAGTCCGCCCAATAGAGGGCAAAAGGGTGTGGCATATTGCTTTGAGAGAAAAGAGAGGTGTCCGCCTGCTGGGAAAGTTTTAAATGCATTTCTTGAGTTTGAGCTCAAGCTGAAATTTACGTTGAGCATATTTTAACTTATTTATAAATATTATATGGCCACAAGTCGAACCCAACTTTATAGGGAACTATTTTTATTTGTCAATAGTTTTTAAATTAAAAGTGTGTTTGTTGTATATTTTATTAGCAGTCGGGGCATACGAAGACCCAATTAGTTTTAATCCGATATCCATATTACATTAGCTGTAAACGTCTCACAAGGGTTGCAACGTTTGAAAAGCACCTCTTATTTGCCTACTTGCAGGTTGAATCTTTTTTTTGTCTTTCATCTTTTCAATATTGATCAATTGTAATCTCTGCCTCAGTCGGGGATGAGCACTTGACCTCTAGGATTCTTACAAAAATTAATATGCACTGTTGACAATCTAATCAAGTTTTGTAGGTACATCTGAGCATAGACTCAGCGCCCGCAAAAGCTTTGTATGCTGGCCAGAAAAACAAAGAAGAATATAATTAAGAGCTGGGCAGACAAAGGAAAAACATAAACCAAAGACACGATAAACAGAGAGACAAACGACTGTAAAACGTTGAGCAAAAGTTCTTAGAGGCATTTTGTTGTTGTCTTTCTTCAGTTTAGTGTTGTTCTGTTTTTGTTTTTGGTTTTTTTTTTTTTTTTTTTTGGTTTTTTGGGTAAACAGCGCACACTTCTCACATTACCAACATGCCATGGCGGTTGTGCATATTTTTCACGTGAAAAGCCAACAATACCAGACGACGAGACAGGGCAGTGGCAGGGGCAAGGGCAGGGACAGGGCGGACGAACAGCACCTAAAACTGGGCAGGTGCAACATGCACAGACAGACAGAAAAATAAAGAGAACCGAGTTGTCGACTCTTTGTTGTTGTTGTTGTTGTTGCTGCTGTTGTTGTTGTCGTACTATGTCAATGTGCTATTTTGAGTTGAGTTACTGTCCCTTCATATATGTGGCTATACTCCGTCAGTCTCTAGCTCTGGCTCTTTATCTTTCTCTCTCTTTCCCAATC